AACTGAACTCCATCCATCCCAGTGGCCACACTCAGAGCCCCTTATAGGCAAAACACCTATATGCCTCTGGCCAAAAAAGCCGCTTAAGAGAGAGCAGTGAAAAGACTTTGTGCAGGCATACTTAAGAAACTGAGGCCGAATCCCATGTGGCCAGGTTAGTTGTGGGCCTAACATGACCAAGGCTTTGGCTAGAATAGCATTTCCAGACTGCATTAAGGAATTAAGGTTGACTTTATAAGGCCTATGAGAAAGCCCTTTGGAAAACTGGCCAGATACCCATCAGTAACCTTTCCTGATCTGTGGTAAGTGACGAAGGTCACTTACTGACGGGTCTGGGAATGGAGTAACCTTTCCAGATCTGTGGTAAGTGACGAAGGTCGCTTACTGATGGGTCTGGGAATGGAGTAACCTTTCCTGATCTGTGGTAAGTGATGAAGGTCGCTTACTGACGGTCTGGGTTCCTGATCTGTGGTAAGTGACAATCGCTTGCTGACAGGTCTGGGAATGGTAATGTCATACAGGTATCTAATGGCAAAGATGAAACTTGGGCTCATGAAAGGCTTTTGAGAAGTCCAGCCTGAGAATTCCCTATAAAAGGCTCCAGCAAAAACCCCCCTGACTTATGGCCTACATGGGAGCAGAGGTTTGCATACAAATTCCTGTATGCCCAAGAAGTTTCTCTATGCTTTGCTTAAAGATTCAAAGTAACTGCCTCCAAATGGCATGGTCAGTAAAACAGACATTCAAATCGTCTCTTTCCCCCATAGCCTCAGACTTCATCAGATAAGATCAAAGAAAGTAATAACTGACAACATGTTCTTCATTAAGTTATGTTAAACCGGGTTATATTGAAAGGATTATGCTTAAAGGTGTATGTCGGGTGGATTATCAGATTACCAGGGCAGATTACCAGGGAGGAGCTACTTACAGGGAGGGTGGTCATAAGCTGTTTAAATGGTTCAATGAGGCCATTGCTGCATTGTGCTCATGTACAAAATTCCCTATATAAGCCAACTGCAAATAAAGAAGCTCACCATTTTGCCTGATGAGCAGATGGTCACCTTTATTTAAAACACAATTTCAATAAGTGTGCTTATTCTTCGCGATGTCGCTTTTCCATGAGACCCTTACGGCAACAGCCCCTACCCTTCTTGGCCTGCCCAGCCTCTCAGCTGAGTCCTTTCTTCAACATTAAAAGCTGCTCAGGATTGAATTCTTTTTTTTTTTTTTTTTGAGACATAGCCTCAAGCTGTCCCCCTGGGTAGACTGCTATGGCATCACAGCTCACAGCAACCTCCAACTCCTGGGCTCAAGTGAGTCTCCTGCCTCAGCCTCCCAAGTAGCTGGGACCACAGGCACTGCCACAATGCCCGGCCATTTTTTTTGGTTGCAGCCATCATTGTTGCTTGGCGGGCCCGGGCTGGGGATTCGAACCCACCACCTTAGGTGTATGTGGCTGGCGCCTTAGCCACTTGAGCCACAGGCACCGAGCCAGGAGTGAATTCTTGATGGGGTTATTTTACATCTTGATGTAAATGAGTCCCTGAGTCCCTCTCTGTGGGATCTGAATTTCCAGTCTACTGCCTAATTCTGGAATAACAGCCTTTAAATCAAGTGAAAGGAAATTCTATGACCTGAGGAAGATACATGGGTGAAGGGGCTATCCCAGACCCTTTAAAAGCACTTGCCCTGCTCTTCCCTGAAGCTAGCTAGTCCTGACCTGTGAAGGAATGGCTGTTTAATTTAAAAAATGAGGCTGATGGGACTGGTCATGTTGGCTCACTCCTGTAATCCCAAGACTTTGGGAGGCTGAGGCAGAACTGCTCACTGAAAATACAGTGAGCTACAATATCGTACCACTAACACTGCAGCCTGAGCAAATAAGTGAGACTGTGTCTCTTAAAAAACACAAAAACAAAACTAGGACCAGGCCAGACTGAGAAGTTAAGAGAGAGAAAAATCCAATAAATGATGTGAAACACTGCTTGGGTGGGAAGGGAAGAGGTGCAAGGGAGACGCCAGGTCCTTCAGTTGCAGGCATGGGAGGCTCTGCGGCACAGGCCAGGACACAGCCCTTCCTCCAGAGCCAGGAATCTCAGTCCCAGTCCCAATGGCAATGGACCAGGTGGAGCTCTGACAAGGAACACAAATGGTTCACACACTCAGCTGTTTGCACACCTTCCTTATGAAATTTAAGACTTTTCTTTTCCCTTTTGGAGGAGAAGGGGTATAAAAGAAGAATCTTTCCAAAAATATAAAGAAAATAATTTCAATTATTTTTAAACCAGGGGAATGATGCGAAATGAGCAATAGGAATACATGATTAAAGATAAAAGACAGAAGAAGGAAAGCCCTGCTTGGAGTAGGTTGTGAAGTGCCTGGGAGCAGGGCGGGGCATGCCCTCTGCCATGGGTAAGTGGCACAGCAGTGTCCACTCACCGAGACCCCGGGCCAAGTCTGAAGGGACCGACATCTATGAGTAGCTGGAGGAGCACAGAAAGTCAGCAATGCTGTTATTTTCACCACCACAGGCTTCTTTCTTTCATAAAATGATCATAAACATAAATATGATAAAACATAAACATGATGTCATAAAACATCATAAAATGATGTGCCCTACAGACTTGTTTCCATGCAGCGTAGCCTCACTTTACTTAAGTAGTACTTAAAGTCAAAAGTGTGACTCCCCTACAAAGTCCTTCTTGGGTAAATTGAGGCAGCCTGGCCTCATGTATGCAAGCACCCTGAGGTAACAGGAGTAGCTCTAGGGGTCAGCAGGGAAAAGTACCAGAGGCCTGTTTGGGGCCAAATAAACTTTAGGGAGGCAGCCAGGGGCAAAGAACAGCAGAGGATCTGCCACCAATGTGTTGACAGCCCAGCAGGCAGGTATTAGTAATGGGAAAACATGTGGCCATGGGCACTATAGGACATGGGAAGGAGCCCTGGGCTGCCATCTCGGCTAGCTATCTTTTAAGAGGAGCTGGCCCTGACAGCAGCCCTAGCAGACAGCAGGGCCAAGAAGACAGAATGAGCACGACCCCGAGATCCTCCTCCCAAAGACCGTGGAAGTCATAGGGCAAGGGCAGCAGCTCTGTTCCTGCAGGCATATGCATGACTAGTGTTGCACCTGCTGCTGAGGACAATGGGGCATACCACCCTTGGTGGCATAATGGTCATGTGGGCTTGCCAGAAAAGCCGAGTCCAGAGATATGGACTCTGAAGGTCTGAAGTGGGTTCTAAAAAGCCACATTTTGGACCTGCAATCCAGGTGATTCTGAGGCAGGTAATACGAGGACCTGGTGGGCATGAGGGAGGTTGGGGGGTGATTGGGTTCTGGGGAAGAAGTCAGCAGCAGTAGAGAAGCTTGTGAGGACTGAAGGCCAATTTTTGTGCAGCTGGGGGACAAAGAAAATGCAGAAAATTGGGAGAGCGGAAGAGCTGCCTTCTTTGTGTGCTGCCCACCTGACCCCATGGGACAAGCCATTTTTCTAAGTTAGCCTGATGCTGCCCTATAAAAGTATGACTGAGGCCACACTTTTGGAGGACGTTGATTGTTCAGGACACCTTGCATTTAGCTACTTTCCCCCAACTAGTGAAAGCATTCTCCCTCTGAGTAGATAAAAATGTGCCAGGGTGACCAGCCCCCAGCCTCGGGGTACTGGTGGGTCTTAGTCCTTGACCCTTGGGCAACTGGATTTAAACATATGCATTTTAATGCATGATATGAGTTGTCCTGGATCTCTCTCTGGGAAAGTTTGGGGATATTCTCCAGAGGATTATTAACTATTAATATCCAAGGTACAGAGTTTGTGTACGGAGCTCCAAAGGGCACTCATATCCAGAAGGAATTAATACATTAATGAAAAAAGAAAGACACTTTACCACACTGCAACAATGCTTGATGATCTCACGTCCAGGGTGTGAGGTGCAGAGAGTCTGGGCTCACTTTGCAGCTTGGAGGGCCAGACGCCTAGCCTGCTACTCTTGTCCTGAAGCT